TTCTTTTTTTCGAAAAATGAAAGAAAAAGAAAACACCACAAAAATAAAATAAAATAATATAATAATTAAATGAAAGTCAAACGTATTTGGATTAAAATTTTAAGCTAAGACATCTTTGTATATGAAAATATATATTTTAAATATATTTCCTAGAACAAATTTAATTTCAAATACAACCGCAAATATTTCATATTTTTCTTAAAAGAAATCAACAAACGAAGCTCAGCACAAAAAGAGCTTTTCAGCCTCCTACTCAAGCAACCAGGACAGCTTACTGGACACTACAAATATATTTTATAGATTAATAAAGATATTTTTTCACAAAATACGAATAATCTGCAATATCTATACTATATGTATATGTTTGAACTATTATTATTGTGGCTGAAAGAAATGCAGAGCGAGGCTGCAGTTGCATTTTCTATAGCATACTTTTAAGCTGGTCTTGTTTACCTGATGTTTTTTAACGCTGCGCTTTGAGGGGATTATGTTAGGATATTGAAAAAACATATATCTTTATATATATGCATGTGCATGTATGTATGCATATGCATAAATGTTTGTATCTATTTGTACTAGAAACATGTTATTTTTTATTGCATTGTTGTTTGGCTGTTCAGGGTCGAGCTTCAGTTGATGTCGTTGAGGTTGCAGTTGACACATGAAATTGTTTCTGTCAGTTATATGTGCGTGCGTGTGTGTGCTCGTTGTAGCCGCAGTTAGACTTATTCATTCAGCTGGCATTGCAAACCACTTCAGTTACACACACACACACACATAGAGAAAGAGAGAGATAGAGGTAAAGCGAGGTAGAGCTCTCAATGCCTAAACGTACTTCATCATTTTTTTTTTATAATTTTCCATTTTCTCGCATTTTCATTCATTTTCATTTCGATTCCGCGCTTTGCCTCCACAATTTTGTCTTCGACGGCGCAATTGTCTATGTTTCGCTTTGCTTTGCTTTGCTTTGTAATTTCCAAATGAAATGCTTTCCAAATGCAATTTACCGTTGCAAATTGTTGCGCTCCCGCTGCCACGCCCCGCCCAACCGCTGCCTTTATTGCCAACTACACTCACATCTGGCCATCTATCATAGCTTTTCGCTCTCTCTATCTATCTGTGTCTGTGTGTGTGTGTGTGTGCATTTCATTTTGCTAAAAGCTACTTGTCGTTGCGAAATAAAAGGCAAATAGAAATTACTTTGCAGCTTAAGTCATTCGTAATTGAAAAATTACTTAAAAAACTCAAAGGGAATCGAAAACCAGCAGCAAAATTGAGACTGAGGTAGCACACCTGACGGGCATAATAAATCATCAATTCCATTTGTTAGGATCACAAATTTGTCCATTTCTGGAGGCACAATCAAATATATTTTTGTAGATAAAAAAAAATATTTTTTCTATTTTACAAAATATAGTTCAATTTCTATATGAAGCTTTATATGAAGCTGAAAGCAAATAGAATTGCTTTAAATACATAATAT